GTTCAGGGTGGTACTTTGCCTGTGTGTTTTCTGGGGCAGGCTGTGATTCAGCTGTCGGTGTATTCCCAGTGTTTGACACTCTTGTCAATGGAGAAAAAGTGGTGACAGTAAAATACCAYAGGAAACTGGATGCAGCAAGGCCTGTTGGTCTTCCTGGCTGAGCAGTGTTGAAGGAAAGCTGGGCGACTGCACCTCAGGGGTTCGCAGAGCAGATGAAAGCGTCTGAGCTCCATCCAGATGGGTGACTCTGTGGCAGCAATAGCGTTTCTCTGGATGGTGAGTCAGAGCTCCCATGTCCAGCTAGCAAGGATTTTTTAAAAAAATGTTCCATGTGACAGTTTTCATATAAAGATTAGTTCAAACCAATTCATTCAGTTACTTTTTAGAAAACAAATTTATTTTTATTAAAAAATAAATTTTTATTTCATAAAGTTCCAAATTCAAAACCCACATATTTTCTTTGAGCTCAATTTTAAACTGACAAAACATTACTTTGTTTATAAATCTGGCAAATTTTATCAAGCAGTTTCAAGAGAATTTTAGGTGAATGATTGGTTTCAATACAAGTTAAGTAGTGCCCCTTTGGACATTTCAGACTGCATTTGTAGATTTTATATTTTCTTTTTTTTTAATATTTATTTTTTAGTTGTAGTGGGACACAATAACTTTATTTTATTTATTTATACGTGGTGCTGAGGATTGAACCCAGGGCCTCACATGTGCTAGGTGAGTGCTCTACTGCTGAGCCACAACCCCAGCTCAGATTTTATATTTTCTATGTCCCTTTATAAGTACTTCATTATCAAAGAATACTAAGGTTGTCCCTAAAAGGGCTTAGGAGCCACTAGCCAAGATGGAACAGATTGAGGGTAAGGCTAATGCTACTGTGTATTGAAACCATGTATTTTCAGATTCTTAGTTCTTAAAAGCACTAATTTTAAAAAAGGAATGAAGACACTGTCTAGTGTCCTTTGGAGGGTACTAGGAGATGCCTCATTGTCTTGAGGGGGGAAACCTGGTAAATAAAAGGAGTCAAGGCTTGATCCTATCTTTCTTATGAGCTTTGTCTTGGAGGCTAACCACACATCACCGAGGGGAAGTTCCTCTTTATGGCTGAGACCTGATATCTGGAGCAGGAATGAAGGACCATCACTGCCAAGTAGCCCCCCAGGAGTTAAATGCTAGGCAGTGACCCTTGTTGGCTGCTCATGTCATCAAAAATAGACCCCAGACACCCCAGTAGTAATCCACGCCTCCTGATGTACACATACACCACCACCTGTTAGGGGGTTTTACAGGAAAAAGCAAGGAACCTAAATCTAATCCAGCCTCCATAGCCAACCTCCAATTTTCAGGCTATACAAAAATACAGGAAAATATCAAACTAAGCCACAAGCACAAAATGAACAGTTCCTAGAATCTGGAAGACTTTTAATTGGTCGAGTGTTTCTTCCACAAAAAAAAAAAAAAAAAAAAAAAAAAAAAAAAAATTCCAAGAATTAAAAAAGAGAAGCTGCAGCAGGTCTAGAGAAAACAATAAACAAAACACCCAGGGGCCGATTTCAGTGTGTGACTTTTCAGATGCTGTTTCATTCTGTGTATATGTGTGTGTATACATGAGTGTGCAAAGATGAATGAGAAGATATGGACAGTGAGGACATTTGATGACGTTAAGAGTGAAACTATTTTTCAGGCCTTTTGGTCCCTCTGTTAAAAAGACCTTTTTGGGGGGAGGATAAATGGCAATATTTGCAGATTAAATTATATGGTATTTGGGAGTTACTTCAAATAATCTGGCTAGGGAGGGAGGGAGGAGCTTAGTGGGTGGGAAACTAGAGAAAACAAGATTGACCATGAATTGTTGAAACTGGGTTCATTATACTCTGGCCTTCTTTTTGTGTATGTTTGAAATTTACACCCAAATTTTTAGAAAACAGCTTAAAAAAAAAAAAAAAAGCTCAAACCTTCCCTAATATTAGATAGCTCCCCTCATACATGTAAGAAGACGCGAAGGATGTGACTCTACTTTGGGTACCACCAGAGATATGAAAAAGTGTGCTCTATATGTGTCTAAATTGTGATGCATTCTGTTGTCATATATAACAAATCAAAATTTAAAAATAAATAAATAAATTTCAAAAATATATATTYAAAAATTTTTTAAATATACTTTTAAAAATATATTTTGAAAAATGTATTTAACTCATAAGTGTTTCTAAGATTGTAATTACAAATCACAGTTCTGAATTGCTCCATATGTACTTTTAAAGTAGAACCATGAGACAAATCATCTCAAACAGTATTTGAAATTAAAATGCCAAATACAGATTTTTCTAAACGCAATTCTTTATCTCAAGATTTGTATCTCAAAACATTTTTATACTTAATAACTTGCAGCTCCTCAGTGGGTCACAGTCAGCAGTTAAACAGAGAGAGAGAGAACTGAGTGGAAGATATCAAAAGGCATTATAAGTTGTGAAGATGAATACTGTTTTTCTGAGACTTTGGTTTCATTTGTTTTTTGATGTGAATAAATATCTTGCTGTGGATCACTGTCAACGATTTAAAAACTGCCACTTTAGTATATGATGTGGAAGAGCTGGGACAGCCTAGCATATGGATAACAGCAAGAGTTAATCATAAACTGCTGGTAAAGAGGTAGGCCCCAAAGAAACAGAGCCCAAAACACACCCTGAGCTTAAACTAACCTAAAAGCTGAAATCAGTCAATCAAGCAAGCAACTATGCAGTGGCCCCTTAGTGGAAGGATACTTTTTTGTTGCTGCAGACACACAGGTTGGCATGGTGGATTGTTTTTTGGTGTCCGTTCCTTCCCTTCATGCCCCGTATTCACCATTTATTGCCTTTTGGTAGCTCCGTGTTTGGTCTACTGTAGGTAATACATCCATATTTATCAGATACAAATACTAGTAATTAAGACACCTGTTTCAGAGAATTGGGGAGGAGAATTTTTGTTTTAACAAGCTTTCCACGTAGCTAMCCTGGTGGCAGTTGTAGACCATTATTTAGGAAGCATAGACCTAGTCCATCTGCTCATTCCCTGGCCCAGGTTACACATGCTGTTAGCATTTGAACCATGCTAAAAATTGGGTCGCTCCTCTTCTGGTGGAGGGCTTTACCTACAACTCCTGGCATCTCTTACCAAGTTCTCTAAAAACATTCCATGGCCTTCTAGGAGGTGGCATGGATTCCATACTCCTCTCTACACCACCACATTCTCCCAAATGACTCATCATTTTATTTTCTTGCTCTATAGCTTTGGCTTTCTTTCTGTGGCCAGTAGTAGAAAGACCAAACATGGAGCAGCATATCATTCAGAACCCACCAGCATCTGTTGCCCTCCTGTCCCTTCTGTCTCTTCTCTCTCTCTTCCAATCTCCCAACTCTCTCCTTCTGCTGTCACCTCCTGCTGGGGCCACTCCAGGCTACCCGGGAAGCCACAGACAACTAACCTTTACCAACTCTGGCCTTCTGTTCATGTGTATCCACCAGGTGGAGCAGCCTCTATTTTTCTCTGAATAACATCCACCCTCCCAAACCAAGTTCAAGTGCCACTTTTATAAAATCCTCCTTGATTTGGAGTTAATCACTCCTTCCTTGATGCATCTTGCTCTTTGTCCCTATTCTGTTACAGCCCCTAAGACTGCTGTGGACTTGTTTAACTTCACCCATGTTTGATGGGGAGAGCAAGCTCATAGAAGGCAGTTGTTACTGGAGTACTTTAGATCTAGATTGTCTCCCAAAGGTTCCTTGGTTGAAGGCTTGATCCCTGGTGCAGCCATGTTCAAAGGTGGGGTTTGAGAGAGTGATTGGATCCTGAGGGCTCTGACCCCATCAGTGGATTAACCTTTTGAGGAGTTAAAAATGTGAATGGACTCAAGGTGGAGGTGGAACAAAGTTGAGGGGGCAGGTTCCTGGGGACATATCCTTGAGGGCTGTATCTTGTCCCCGTCCCCTTCCTGGATGCCATGAGGGGACAACTATCCTCCACCATACACTTCTGCCATGATGGTCTCTCATCTCAGGCCCAAAGCTATGGAACTGGCTAATCATGGACTGAGACCTCTGAAACAATGAGCCCAAACAAACTTCTCCTCCTTTACGTTGTTTTTCTCAGCTATTTTGTTCCAGCGACAAAAAGCGAACCGAGCCATCATGCATGTGTCCTTCACTTCACTGTACACCCTTGTCACCATTATTAGATGTTTGTTGAATTGATTTTTGTATGAGTTCTGATGACACCAGTGTTAATATTWACGGGCAGCATGGCCATTTAACTTGTGTGGAGTAGGAGCTTCAGCCTCCCGTCTCGGATGAAGGCTCGAGGCTGCTTGTGACTTCTCTGTCATTCCTTTTCTTCTCAAGCCCAGCCAAAGACAGTCCTGCCAGGTTTGTGACCTGTTCATGGTAAACAATGTTTAGTTTGTTTTTCTTTGGAGACAAGGTGGACGAGGAGGCTGGCATCTTGAAGAGGAAGTATTAGCAAATCTGATCCTCAGTGCCATTTATAAGAGATGGGAGAAGGGGAACTCAGGGAAGTGATTAGGGCATAGACGAAAAACCTCAGAGAACTGTGAGACAGGGGTGTCCAGCCATCCTGTAACATCTTGCCTCTCGGGCTCTTCAGCCAGCACAAGAGTGCTTCAGGTCACTACCGAACGTACCTGCTGAGGGAGAAGCTTGTCACTGAGGGTCTTGCTGGCTCATTCCCAGGAGAGCAAATCTCCTTCCTGAATTAGAGGTGAGCGGAGAAAGCCCAGCACAGGATACATGTGTATCAAGGGTGTTTATTCTGCTGGCTTTGGTTATTAAATAATTTTTGTGCAGTTACATCGGGGTGGTTTTTGAAAAGCAAAATCATTATTGAATGCTTTTTTTTTTTTTTTGATGTTTCATGTTTTTGGACAGGCAGAAAACCTAATTCTGTTAAAAATGAGATGAAAATCCTCATATTGAAATAATGATGTTTCTCTGTTACAGGTTCCTTGCATTGACTCCATGGAGAGTATATCATCTGATTTCGGTCATGATCCTTGGGCGTGTTATTATGCAAATAATAAAGGATATGGTTTTGTCTAGAACAAGAGGTAAGAACACTCAAGATTTAATTTTTATGGCATTTAATTTTCTCAACTCTGAATGTCTGATTCTTGTGAGGGTACACTAACCAATTATTCCTTTGAATATTCCTTTGAACAGGAAAAGCATTAGATTGTATAAGTATTGATTTTGCTATTTTCAATATAGTAATTTATGTAACTGATTCATAGCTTCAACTACTGCCTTTCCTATTGGCTCTAAGTGCCATTTCAAATACCACTTTGATATGTAAGTAGGCTGCAGTGAGGATAGCAGTTAAATATTTATTACATCCTACCTGATGAAACTGGTCCACTGGAAAATGGACACGTTTATATAAACATTTTTTCTGCCTCAATGAAGAAAAACAATTGAGGATTTAAAAGCAAATGATAGAGAAAATTTTAAATGAGTAAACAATCATGAAAAATGAATAAATTTCAAACATTAATTTTAAAAGAGAACTTACAGTATTTTAAATTTTGCTTAATGTATTTTTGAGTAGGTTAACTATATTATAAATCAAGCTGTCCATAGTTGGAGGATGCTCTTCCATGAGTGTTTGAGCTAGTTTTTTGTAAGTGGGCAAAAATCCCTCCTGGAAATAATTGAGTCCCATGAAGCCAAGTGGAATAGATAGATTTGATCAAAATTAGCCCAGAGGAGATTGTAATCAGGCATTTAATTTTACTGACTATACCCCAACTGGAGACAGAGTTTTGGTTGAGACCCATGTGGACCAATGTGTTTAAGAACTGCCCAGACGTCTCACCCTGGTGGAGATATTGAGGTCCTTTTTGCAGGAGGTATGTTCTGTTCCCTAACACCCACATGAGACCAAGAATGCACACAGTTACAGGTTTACCATTGAGACATTCTGTGGATCTGCTTTAAATCTGGTTTACTTAACATCTTTCTTAAACTACATCATTGTGAAAACAATTTTTAGGAAGTTTGCTTTACATTAGTGTGTTTCCAGATTTGGAAGCAATTCCCTCTTGCCTAGCATCTCGGAAGGTGAACACATTTGTTTTTGTTCAGTTAATGTGTTTCATGAATCTGAAGATTTCGATTATACTCTTGTACACACACTTCCCTCTCTCCCTCTCTCTCCCTACCCCTTTCTCTCAGAGAGCAGGCACTGAACTGCCTCAGCTTCAACCTGAGCAGGTGCTCACTGATTCTTCCTGCTTGCCACATATGCACTGAGGTCACCTAGAGGCAGAGCATCTATTTCCTTGGTTTTGTGCAAGGCTTTGTCGGGTGGTCTACAGCAACTCCTTGTTTGTTAACCATTTTCTCAAATAAACTTTTATAACATGCTCCCCCTCTAGAACCTCTGGGAGGGGAATCCTAGAAGTGACAGCCAGTTGCAAGTTTTTTCAGCAGCCATATTATCTTGGTAGACCCAGCTGATCCACGGAGGAAGCTGAGCATCTTGGTGCTTTGAGTTGTATGACAAATCTGGTCCTCATCTGGGCACAGGTTACAAAGAGTAGACAAACATGGAAGACTGAGACTTGATCTCTGTGTGAGTGGCCAAGTGTGAGAAAAGGACAGTTAGGGAATCTTTCAGCTTCCATTCTGTGGACCTATGAAGATCTTAAGTTTCTAGTTTGACTTCCTGACTTGATGGGTTACACAAAGGCAGAAACTTCCTTCTCATGAATTATAGGAAAGCTGTACATCACAGAGATTCAGTCCTTTAAAATATTATGGAATTGAAAGAAGGCCAGCCTAAAAAGTCTAATTCTCAGACTGGGTCACTCATTTCTAGCTGTAGAGAAGCCATATAACAGACTATGTTAGTTTCCTGTTACTGCTGTAACAAAATACCATCAACGCTGTGGCTCAAAATAAAGAAAGTTCTTCTCTCGTGGTTCTGGATGCCACTTGTCCAAGTTGGTATTGTTGAACCAAAACCAAGGAGTCAGAGATCTGGATGCCCTCTGGAGGCCTTAGTGAAGAATCTGCCCTTTCCTAGCTTCTGGTGGGTTCTGTCTGTTATCTATCCTCCTCAGCCTGTCTCTACCAAGTGCACTTGTGATTGGATTGCCTTTGGCACCCACCCGGGTGGCAGGTGATCTGCTCATCTCCCATTCCTTAACCCAACCACATCTGCAAGGCTCTCTTTCTATATGAAGTCACATTTCCAGATTCCAGGGATGAAGATTTGATATCTTCAGGACTGTGACTCAGCCTACTTTATCACCAGAACCTCTTTATCCTGCTAAATGGGGGAACCATCCTCACACCAGGGGGTTGTATGAGGGGCAGTTAAGAGCATAGAACAGAAGTACTTTTGGATGCTTCAGATGATSTGGAGTCTCAAGGAAGACATTATACAGCAAATTCAGACAATGAAAAATCGCTTTGACAATGAATTACATAAACAAATCCAAGAAGCAAAAGATCGACTCTATAGGGAGATAGAGGATATAAAAAACAAACAGAAATCCTGGAAATGCAGGAAACAATAAACCAAATTAAAAACTCAAATGAGAGTATTACCAACAGAATAGAACACTTAGAAGATAGAACTTCAGACAACGAAGACAAAGTTTTTCAACTTGAAAAGAACATAGAC